CCCATCAGCAGTGTTATGAGGGTTCCAGTTTCTTCACATCTTAACCAATACTTGTTACTGACTGTCTAGTGGGTGTAATGCGGTATCTCTTTATAAGCTTCCCCTTCTTGCAAGGGAACAAACATTAAATAACTATCATTTGTTTTGCCACATGCAACCCAAATTGTCAACAATAACAATAGGTTAGTGGGTGAATTCTGCAGCAGATACTAGGGAAAAAAGACTCCTAGTTATGGTTGGTGGTTTTCCATTGAAGGAATATACGACGTGAAGAACTGAAATGACTAAATGGAAGGCACCTTATATTTTTGCCTGTTCTTTACAAATATTAAGAAGGAGCTCTTCAGCAGAGCCTGATGGATGGATAAATCCTTGTGTTCTTCTTGGTATGTACCTAGAACCTCGGGTCCTCATTATGAAAAGAATGAGTCACGTAAGGTCAGAAAGCAAAGCAACTTCTTTAATTCCTTCTCCCTTATTATACTCAGGAAAGCTGCAAATTTCGTGGACCACTGTGAAATCAACAGATAAAGATGCATGGAACTAAACCATTCCAGAGGAAATGTTCATAGCAATAGGCTGAGGTGAAGACTTCTGCTCAAAAACCATTGCAACTCTTGCATCACGGGTTTCATATTAGGCTAGGGTTGATAGTTGTCAGCAACGCCAACAATTTGACATGTTGCTCCACCTATGGACAATGTTATGCATGACAGGCTCTTTCAACAAAGAGCTGAATTAGTGGTGTCCACTTAAATTAGGGCATAATTCAAATCTCTTATTGAACCACTACTCAATGCAATTACCCAACGCCGGTAATTCCTCAGAGGATCCCATTCTTTGAATCTTCAAGAATAACCAAAATAGGCTTAGATCAATGGATAACACAGAGACAGTGAGTATTCTAGCTAGGCCACATTGGAATGTGTCTCAACATCTAGATGTGACACTTAGTAGACCCATATTTGAAATGGCCCACCACTCTTTCTTAGTCAATATCTTCTGGTGACAAGAAATCCACTCACAATTGTACCACTGAGGGAGGATATTATAATAATACAAAAAATATTGGAACTAAATTATATATAGTCAGTTGTCATGGGAACTTAATATGAGAAGACGCTAGAACAACTAATTTTCTTGCCTTGTTTCCGTACTGCATATTTTGCTGTCTCCCTGCTCATTGGAGTTCTGATGTTTTCTTTCCACTCTGCATCTTCTATCCTCTCTCAATATGCAAGTGGGAAGAGACATTGATCCATGTGCAGACCAAAGGGAAGCCTACTGAAGTGTTAAACTGGGGGCAATGGACACTGAGAAGGAATCCAAGGACAAGAACTGCTAATAGTCTGATTAAGAGATAGAGTGAGCTACAACAGGGCCAGTTCTAGAGCAAAGTTACACAAGTATAGAAAGTCTATGGGGTTTTCCTTTCACATGTCGTCTGGTATGTTGTACTGAACCAGGAGTCAAGTCTTAAAGAGACTAATGTAACCCTAGAGATGCTTTCTCACTTTCAGATTTGACATTACTATTTAGGCATAAGTATTCTCGGCCTTTATGAAATCGCTGGATGTCACTTTTAAGTATTGGAGTGGAAATACATGACATCCCTCTTAACTTTTACGAAAATATGAGACTCTTCTGTAGCATAAAAAGATATTGTTTATCTAAGTGGGAAATGAGAGAGATTTAACCTAAATGAATACATATCTTTGCAGTTTTATTTAACGTTAAGATTCTATATGAGACAGAACTAAATGCTTTCTTCAGAATTAGAGCTCTTCTTGAGGGGGTGGATTCACTCAAGATACACATTAATACTCTCGAAACACATTGCCTGTCACTTCTTACTGCTTGCCGCTTAATTAAAAGGGATGTCAGACACTTCTGAAAAGGTTCTGGTAAATTGTCAAATTCAACAAAAGAAAGAAATTTTAGATAAAAAGCACCTTATGTAAATTATGCCTTCCTCCTAGCCCCATTTCTTTCTTTCTTTTAACCACTGTTACCATCATTTTAGGTGACTTTTGTCTGGCATTTGAAAATGAAATGCAATTCTCTTATTTGCTCCTTGGCGAGATTCCCTGAAATGTTCTGTTAAGTGTTTTCAATTATATACCAGTCCCAACAGGATCTCAGTAAGAGGTTTTAAAAAGATGTTTTATCTAGTACATTATATTTTGCAGTTTGAATGCTATACAAGCTGCAATAAATATAGATAAAATAAGCAATGTTAAAAAATCTTATAGCTATAAATCAATAAATTTGTATACGGCTGGACAAGTATTCCAAAAAGTTTAAGATTTTAAAGGGTCGTTGCAAACACTTGCGTTAGAAATATCAACAAATTTGTAAGCAAGTAAATTGTAAAACATTAAAACTAAAATTACCACTGTAACAACTGGGCTTATGGTATTATTTGGCTATATGTATTTATTTGAAGTTACACAGAAAATAAGTTGCTTATTGGCATTTAACTTGTTAAAGTTATAAGTAGAAAACAAATTCTTACATAACTGGGGACCAATGTTATTTGGTGGAAATTGCACTAGAATAAGAAAGGGAAATCTTGGATCTTCGTGTAAGCTTCACAATTTTCTAAGATGTATGGACTCACAGAGTATTTAAGCATTCTGTTCTTCAATTTTTCCATCTTTTAAATGGGGATAGCAATATGTATCCTGCCTGTCTTATGGAAGTGTAGGAATATTTAAATGAGAAAGTGGATGCCAAAGGCTTTGTAAATTGTAATGTGCTGCATAAATGCAAAGCATCGTCATCATTTTCTCTTCCAGTTGTGATAGATCCATTTCCACTTTTTAACAAATGATAGATTTAAAACATCAGCATCTTCAGCTTTTTTCCAACTCTCTTTGTTACTAAAGTAAACAAAGGAGAATCCTATCAGTGTCTGATTTGGTTGGTTGTGATATTTTTAATTTGTTGTCATCTTTTAATGACTTCATAATGTATTTAGAGACTTATGACCGAAATAAAATAAGTGGGGAATGGAAACAAAAGGCTGATAATAGAAATCTAAGACTGAATTATGATATTTAGCATGAAATGAAGTAGAAAAGTGAAGAGTTTTGTAATTGCATGTCTATTTTAGTGATTCTTGAGATGTTTATAATATTAAGGCACAGTTATAGACTATTTAATAGAAACGTAAGTGAAAGTTACAAATGAACTTTTAGAAACTAAAATCAAGAATTTACAAATTATTACCGTAATTTGGAAAAACGTAAACGATCCAAACAAATCGACCTTTGTCAAATGCCTATTTTGATAGATTAACTAAACTGGGTGTGTTATTGCTGGGAAAACACTCTGCTTGGTTTATTTACAAAAAAAAAAAAAAGGTAGACTCGTTTGTGATTTGCCATCAGGATAAATGCTGTAATAAGTAATTGTTCTCTGAGCAGTAGCTTCTCAAAAGTGTCATTTCATTCCTTTTTGCATGTTTCACAAATTTGAATATTCCCAAAAGACAGTAGTACGCCTTCAGCATGAATAAGATGATTATAGGATGACAGAATTTTTCTTGAGAGCCATTTCAAGAGTCATTATATATACTTTGTCAACTTGCAGTTGGATGCCAGATGCATTAGGCTATGAGACTACTATTTAAAATAAAACAAAATAAGATAATTATGGAAATTGACCAATTGCAAACTGAAAAGAGAAGTCTGCATGTTATGTTTTTAAAAATTTATTTTTGCATCCAAGAGCATGTGACTTAAGCTTCATGGCTATACCCAAGGAGTTTTCAGTTCTCCTTCAGGTCTCTCACTGATTTCCAAGTTATGAACACTGGGCAGCTACGATGCAATATTCAGGTTCAATCCTGCATAGGTCCCAATAATCAGGCCGTGATCTTTTTCCCCCCAGCTGGCTGTAATGAACAGAAAACTAATACTTACAATTTTCTGCTGTCCCATATTAATGGGGAAATTTCTTGAGGTATCATTAGAAAACTATGCCTGAGGACAGTCTGCTCTTTTGGGAAAAAAAAGTTAACTAACTGACTTGCATTTAGTGTTCAAGCTGTCCATAGACACAAACATTTTATCGCTTTGCACAATAAAATGGAATCATCAGGTGACAATGGATGTCTATCAATTATTTTTCGATGAACAGAAATGAAGCAGAACATTCTATACATATGATGTAACTCCCAAATCTGTTTGAAAGTGGCAAAAGAGATGGAGAATGTTGTTGATTATTTATTTGTTTGTTTATTTATTTATTTATTTATCCTTCTATGAGTTCTGGGCTGCCCATCTGCACTGCTTAGGTTTGGAACTAGAGATCTGGCAAAGCATGAAGATTATTTATTTATTCAACAAATCCTATATACCAGGCTCTGTTCTACACACAAGTGGCATTGGAGTTCATGAGCTAGTCAGAGTGCCAGAAGTCCCTGTTCTGATGGGTTTTATATTCTAGTATAATTGTACTAGAGAAAGCCTTCTCTGAAAAGGTGACTTTTGAGCTGAGTCTTGACCAGTGAGAAAGAAGAGCTGCTGGGCAGAGAGATCAGTAAGTACAAAGCCGAGAGGGAGGAAATGAGGTTGGTACATTTGAGGAACTGAAGGAAAACCAATATGGCCAAAGTTTAAGAGTAAAGGGGATAGTGCTATAAGATGAGGTCAGAGAGAAATTAGCATTAGTCTAGTTGTTTGTGTGAAACACAGTTTTTTTTCACTTTAAAAGTATAAGGGAAAATGTAGTCAAAATAAAATGCAACCGACAATTTTTGCCATCACTAGGATGTTCCCAGCATGCTTTGACTAGCTAGCCTGACATTACCAGCAGATGACAACAGCTATTGTATTAGTATCGCTCTGCCTCTTAGACAGTGCTCTGCCAGATGATTTATGAAATTAAAGGAAGGAAAGGTCACCTGATCTACAGGCCAAAGCTATTGCAGAAATTCTGACGTGAAGAGATATTAAAAATTTTATGTTCTTTCATATAGGAGAAATAAATGGTACCTGGAAATTCTGAGGATTTTCTTCTTAAGGAGAAATTACTCCATTCATCTAGATAATTTTCTATATTTGAAACAGAGTGTGAACCATCAATCTGTTCAGCATTTTTGTCCAGTTCTCTCTCTTAGGTAGAACAGGCTTCTGATTATGACATCATATGTTTCAAATATTCTAAAATAGTAAATGTTGCCAAACAACTTTTAGAACAAAATTTTTAACCTAGACTTTGAGAGTTGAGTGAAGCCTTTTAAAATGGTATGTCTAATTTTGTATATACCGATGTATATATGAGTGTAAGATACCTGAGTAGAGTGATTTTTGTATATACCGATGTATATATGAGTGTAAGATACCTGAGTAGAGTGAGCTATCAAGTCCGGTAGATTCTGGAGCCATGTTACTAGCGTTTAAAATCCCAGCTCTGCTGTTTATTAGTGTGTGACATTTGACAAGTTACTTATCTGTGCCTCTATCTCTTCATTTGAAAAATGGATATAATAGTATTACCTATCTGATAGAACTGTGTTGGTGTTTAAATAATTCAATGAGTAACCAGGATACAGCACAACGCCTAGAACATTATCAACTCTTCTTATGGTATGAATTTTTCTGGGAAGAGGGTGCATGCAAAACCCTCTCATCCCTCATCCCAAATAAAGTTAAGAACAATTGTCTGAATGCTTCAGGACAGATTATTTTTTAAAGTGGCATTAGGATAACATGTCGAGGTAATTAAAATATCAGTTTGTGCATGCTATTTCCTCTCTGAGGGTATACTCATTGTTCTGATCTTGTTTCAGAACCACTAAAGTTAACATCTTACTTTCTTTTATTATTAATTTCTCTCAGTGTCATATTAAAGATTTTATTCCAGTAAAAATAGTAAGAACTACTTAGCTTTGAAACCTCCTTCCAATATGGAATTATCTATCATGAAGGAGAAAAAATTATTGTTAGTTTAAATAGACTTTAGAAATAATCTTCAGTTAAAGCAATCATGGCTCCAAAAGAAAAAAAACTCTCTGTTTTTTCTTTAATAGCTCTCTCTCTTGAACTCCCCTCTGATAATCTTTGGCTAATTCTAATTAGCCACTCCCCACCAATGGTAACTGCCAGACTTGTGTACGTCAATGGTTGGTACACGCTGGAGAGAGGGTTTTCTAAAACTCTAAAGAGAGAAGTGTTCCTCTGAGTTGAATTTTCTTTCTCTCTTTGACACTTCCAGTGATGCCCAGGACCATGGCAGGGGTCATGAGTGTTTCCTAAGCCTTTGTGACCTGTCTCATTCCTGTTGAGTTGTGTCGTTGGGATAAAGCTAAAGAGTGCCTGCCTTGGTGCATGCAATAGGCAAAGTTTCATAGAAAAATAATGCAGTAAGTGTGGTCAGCTCTCAACAGTCATCTTTCAAAGTCTGTTGAACATATAACACAGCTGAAATAAAACTTGTGTGTGTATCTTTGTGTGCATCCTACAACAAAAGTCAGAAAACTACTTAAAATCAAATATGAAATACAATATTTAAATCATAGCCAGACTTAAAGAAGCATTTGTATGCTAGTCTATGAGTCTAACATTTATTCATTTCATTTCCTATGAATGAAGGCATTCTGTTATTGAAATCATCAACTTACTAATGAATGTTTAGGACACAAACTCTTTGTAAGCAGGATGAGGTCTTAATACAAATCTACATTTCTAGCAGGTACTTTCAGTGCTCTCTCTCCTTCCCTATGCCCAAATAGCCACCTCTCTTTTCTATATTGTTTTGGCTTCTGGCAAATCTTCCCATGGGTACATCACTTCATCTCTGATTAGTCTGACTGACAAAGTCTGGGACCACATCTGATCAATTTATCTACGTAGCATTGAATTAAGGCTAATATCAATAGGACTTCAAGCAACAGGATGAAGCCAATTCGGTATTGATTTCTACCATGAACCACAGTCCTGGGCCTGGACCCAACCAGCTGAACAATTCCCACAAACCATCAGAGTCTAACTTAGAAATCCAGATAGCTTTCTCCCTAAGTTTCTGCATTAACCTTTCCTTTAGATCCAAGGCAATAGTCTAGGTACAGTGGGATGCATGAGTGATTACACAGACTCTGCCTTCACCTGCAAGGAGGGAGTCTAGGCATCATTTATAAAAAGGCTGGTCAGTGGGTTGAGGCTAATCTGGATTCCTTCCAGGGCCAAGGTCATATCAGTGATCAATTTAACTAAAGTCAGCGAAAGACAGATTTTGTACTCACTTTTGCAAATGGATGACTCACATTGTAGTTGTGGGAAGGGAGGTAAATTAATGTCTGGCTTCTACACATGACATATAATCCTGAGGCCACACACGGCGGCTCTGGAACAAAAGTGTTGTTTACAATTGTTGGGGTGCCCCATATGGGACCCACATCATTCAGGGGACATGGGTTGACTGAGCCACCAAAGTAGTCTCCCAGATAACTAGTAAGCCTTAGGATTCCTGGTTCTATTCAAATAATTGAGTCTAGTCCTTCTTTGTTGAAAGCAGTCAGTCCAATCTGTTCTGTTTATCCACCTCACCACTCAGGCGGCATTCATCTGCCCCATGGGATGGCTGAGAATGATGAGGTGGGGCACAGGGAGACATCTGGAGGTGTTTGGCACAGGAGGAGCAGGAACTGAGGCCATTTGCTTTTTCCAATAGACTCTCCACGAGGTTAAAAGGAACCCCACTCAGACGACGGTCAAAATCTTCTGGTAGGGGATGAAAGACCCATAAGTCAACTAAATTTGAGGGACGTGCAACAGTTTGGAAGAGGCATATCAGGGCATCTTCCTTCATATTCTGAAAGATGAAAGACTGCTAATGGCTCTCTGTTCCCTTACCTCCCAGATCTGAGGGGTTCTCCTCCATGTTCCTGGGTTGTTGCTCTCCATCTATTGCCACAGAATTGGAGTGTTCCATTCCAGGGGCTGTAACATCCATCTTTTTTCTGATTATCTTCAAACTCTAACCCAAATCTTTCATCTGGAAGGTTCCTGATGAAAAGGGACAAAGGCAGCTTTATAAAACTTAACCAGGATAAAGTTTGAATCTCCTAGGCCCTTTTTGGCCAGGCTTCCACTTGGAGAATGTGTCAACCAGGCTGAGCTGGTGTTGCTCTTTGGGGAAAGAGACACACATTATGCCCAGGATGGTCAAGGAAGAAAATTATCTGAATTTTCAAAATAAGTCTATATAATCTCCAACCACTTTCATCCTGATCATTACCCAAGAAGCGGCCAAGAGAGGATGATCCCTTTCTGGGGACAGTTATATTCAGTGACCAAATTGCCTTACTACTGTGTAGGTTTCCAGGATGTGATGAGGGAGAAACAGAAAACTTTTCAAGTCAGTTTTTTTTTTTTTTTGCTGAGGAAGATTAGCCCTGAGCTAACATCTGTGCCAATCTTCCTCTATTTCATATGTGGGTTGTTGCCACAGCATGACTGATTAGTGGTAAAAGTCCATGCCTGGGATCCAAACCCACAAACCCAGACCGCTGAAGTGGAGTGCACCAATCTTAACCGCTATGCCATGGAGCCGGCCATTCAAATCAATTTTTGAGGAGGCTTTTACAATACTCAGTACTACCTGCAAACAGTAGATGCCTGTAAATAGTGGAGAGCATTGAAAGTCCATCATACACTTTGACTAGTAGCCCCAACGTTGAGTTGCTTTTTTGGTAAAAGGTGCATGGTTATCAGATTGTAAATGGCCCAGAAAGCCTAAAACACAACACACATTAGTTTCAGCAACCACAGTGGTGTAACTGAAGCTGACTAATTGGACTGGAACAGCAACATCGTAATCTGAAAAAGTGTCAACAGTGATGAAGCACCACTGATAGCCTTTAGGGGATCAAAGTCCAACCATAACCACTCTGCCTGGAGTGGGTATGAACAACCACTCACGGGATTTAGCCTCTATCACTGCAAGACAGAGGGGTCAACTTCCTGTAGTCACACATTTGGCGTCCAATGGTGGCCTCTGCATCAGAAATATAGGGTTCCTTACTTTGTGCTCAGTCTTCAGTGGTGACTGCATGTCATATCTGGTACCATGATGGGTCCAGGCTGCAATGGAGGCAATCTGAGGGTACAGGATTGATCAGCAGCTTGATTCCAGTTGATCTCTTCAGAGAATGGGACCTGTAGAGTTAGCAGCTTTTCATCAGTTGCAGAGAAGGGGATTAAATTTCTCTCGGAGGAATACCTGCCATATTTTCACAAAAAGCAAAGATGCCTCTGTGCGAGACCACTTATGTCTTTGAATACACCATTTCATTTGATGATCAAGGATCTTTGGCCATTACCACCTTGTTGGTCATGGAGTCTAAGTTGATCAAATCCCAAATGGGAATAAATAGTAGACTGGAGAGTCAAAAGACCATGATGGATCAGACATTCAGTTTCAACAGGACCCAGCAGCAAACCGAGAGTTGCTTTTTAAAAGCAATGTACCTGGTACACATGCTCTCAAGGGGCAACCTCCAGATGGAAACTGTATTTCTTTTCCAAAGGCTCCATTAGGAAAATTCATCAGTCACAGAGACCAGCTTCTTAAAGAGGTCATTAGGACCGTGGGGCCTCAAAGGTGGAGAGTATGCTACAGATTGCTGGACAGCTTCGAGTGCAGAGTGTTTGTTTGGTTCCCACTCAAAGAATGCTAATTTTGGGGTCAGCCAATATAAAGGACCAAGTAGAATGCACAAGTGAGGAATATACTGTGTAAAGGTTCCAATAAGATGCTGGCCGGCTCTATGGTGGTGAAGAGAGAAGACTTTGATTGCTGAAAGGATTGAACATTGTGATCCAACCATGTAACCTTGATATATTTTATGTAGTGAGTAGTCTCCTAAGTTTTTATAATAGTTGGCAGAGGTGTGATAACACTGTGTAGTCAAGACCATTGAGACTTCAGCTTCTGGCTTGCCTCCTAACAGGACAATATGTATGTAAAGAAAACTTTGGGAATCAGAGGATACAGGCATTTGAGCCAACCACTGGTGGCAAATGGCAGGCAAGTTTGTCCCACTCTGCTCTTCCAATCAGAAAGCTCTCCTTTGACACTTATGGGAGAAGGCTATAAAAGCATATAACTCATCAGTTA